TCTGTATTGACATATCAATAACATTTTTTTATCCAAATGCACAGATTGCCACCTTTGATAATAGACGACTCATATATACTATAGAATACGTAGGTACTGATTGTAATACTGGTTGCCCGTTTTATAACGGGAATACAATATTGTACGGTAGCAATACACACAGGTCTACGCTTTCGATTATCGCCAGCAATAATAACCACAGCGTGCCGGTTTGATGTTGACGACTTACAATTTTAAAGCAGTATCTTGTATATTTTGTTGTATTGAACGCTTTAAGTCTTTCTGTAATTTATTCTCCTATAGTTTTTATGGTTAACTCGACATCTCATTTTATAATACTTAACATAACCTATTTTTGTTTATTAATAAATAAATAACACACAAATCTGTTGACATCTCCTTCTTCAAACGTGGCTTGTGGAGAGTATTAAACGGTAGGCAGCGGCTTGGCTCTGCCCCTGGCATTGCTGAAGTCCATGGGCGACGGTAACCACTCACCATCAGGTGGGCCGTATGCTCGTCTGCCAACAAGGGCAACAAAAAAAAAATACATAAAGTGTAATAACACTGTAATAACAAGTACAATAACACATTATGCATTTGTATGTATCTCGAATTTAATGCCTAAACCATTCCCTATTAGTCAATCAAAGGTAATGGAGAGAAAATAACATAAATTATATTATAATAACATAAATTAAACATATATACACACATACATTCCAAATAAAGGAATAAACTTTATCTTTTATAATATATTTATCTTCTGTATAATATGTACAATAACAAAACAAAAAAACGAAATGATTAAACGTGGTTTTTAAATGAGCAAGAAATTAATACGCTATTATTTAGTATAAAGTAAATAAATAATATATATTTACATACCTACAAATTTGTAGATCTATGCGCGTCTTTTATCAATTTGAGTCAAACATTTGCGCAGTTGTTGGGACAACAAGGAAGGTTTTCGTTCTAGAATTATCATTGACACGTATTAATTTAGAAGCAAAAGAAAAAAGCGAAATAATCTTACCATGAAATAGTCTGGTTGGATATTAATCAGCAAATATGGCAATTTCAGCACGCCCTCTTCGAGCTTTCGTCCGTGTAAATATTTTCATCTTCCTTATTCAATCTTTTTTTTTTTTTTTATTGCTTAGGTGGGTGGACGAGCTCACAGCCGACCTGGTGTTAAGTGGTTACTGGAGCCCATAGACATCTACAACGTAAATGCGCCACCCACCTTGAGATATAAGTTCTAAGGTCTCAGTATAGTTTCAACGGCTACCCCACCCTTCAAACCGAAACGCATTACTGCTTCACGGCAGAAATAGGCAGGGCGGTGGTACCAACCCGTGCGGACTCCCAAGAGGTCCTACCACCAGTGATAAGTCCTACCACCAATCTCGCTCTCCCTCTTATTCTTATCATAATACATAATTAGAAAATAGTCTACTATGAGCCAGTGTGGACTGAAATCACTGGCTTTCTTTTTTAGACCGTGAAGAATTAATTTGAATGATAAGATCGCTGTGATTGCAATAAAACTGAAACTCCAATTATAATGACCGACGTCGTATGAATGTCTTTTTTACTCTCTGATGCCTCCAGTTACCGCTTAACGCAAAGTAGACAAAAAATAACACTAAATCGACTTTTTAAAATGATATTTAAAGTCTAAAACAGTCATTTCTGTAGGTTTACCCAAATACCTTACATACCCATTTGATGTTTTTAATTTTTGCAGCTAGTTCGTTTTTAAAACATTCAAATGACTGACGGCTTCGTCCGTCCGTCCGTTAACTAACAAGTTTTAATTAAAAACTACGAGAAACGAACATTAGTTTCATTTTAAAAATTTCAAGACGTACTTACTACGGATTAATTAACATTTATTTCTCGATTCATTTTTTGGTTAGAGATTTTTGCAACAACAAATGTTTCAGAAAAAGAGGCTTTTTTTTTATTGCTTGGATGGGTGGACGATCTCATAGCCCACCTGGTGTTAAGTGGTTACTGGAGCCCATAGACATGTACAACGTACCTAAATGCGCCACCCACCTTGAGATATAAGCTCTAAGATCTCAATATAATTACAACGGCTGCCCCACCCTTCAAACCGAAACGCATTACTGCTTCACGGCTGAAATAGGTAGGGTGGTGGTACCTATCCGCGCGGACTCTCAAGAGGTCCTACCACCAGAAGTTCCCTGAGTAAGTAGCTAATAATAGCACGTCAGTATCTGAACACTAAATAACACTTAATTAAAATTTAAAAAAATATATCGTGAATATCTGAATAGCTGATGCGCCATTTCTCATGGGATGATAAAGCAATGATTTGCATATTTATTTATTTGTGTACTTTAAACATCTACCTACATAACTGTTGATTTTGATACTAACATAGTTGTAAGAGATGTAACAACATATTGAGTCCTGGCTACTTTAATAAATAAATATACCTATTATTATTAATTAATATATGAACAAAAGTTCACATTAACAGAACTACGTTTACGGTTTAATCTCAATCAATATTGTGCTAACAGTACTTAGTAAATTGGCATAATATTAAAATATAGACGAATAACACCTAATAAGGATGAATACATCCATGACTACGAAAATTGTATTCGAAATATCCAAAATGTTATAACGACAGCGAGAAATGCGAAATTGAACAGTCAAATTGGTGTGAATTATCTCTACGACCCGCGAAAGCCGAAGAAAACATTACGAGTCAACACGTAACCGGTTGGTAAGGTACGTTCTACATTACAAAACTTTACAGTGAAACCGACGCGTTTGAAATTGAAGCTTCAAAGCTTGCACGCGGTTAGGTAGAAGCCAATGAAGAAAGTCTCAGCCATTGAAGACTTTCACATCGCTTTCAGGTCGACTTACTTCTGTACGAATGGAAATTACACTCACACCTAAAAGGTTGGCTTGAACTTGTTGACTAATGAATCTATATGTATATAAATGAATTGCTGTTCGTTAGTCTCGCTAAAACTCGAGAACAGCTGGACCGATTTGACTAATTTTGGTCTTGAATTACTTGTGGAAGTCCAGAGAAGGTTTAAAAATATGAAATTGCTCGGAATTAAATAAAGATAACAATTTTGTTTTTTCTTTGATGTGTCCCCCGCCGGACGGATTCCTTTTGTTTGTTTTAAGTTTATTTTATACAAAAGTTTAGGTTTTTGATTTATCGATTGAGGCACTACGAAGTCTGCCGGGTCAGCTAGTACTTCATAAAAGTATATTGATACAATAAACAGACAGGGAATCCGGAATATATTCATTTATTACAACGAAAAGTTTATGTCTGATGATGACATGCACAAATGGGAACAATTATATTACAGAAAAAATAAACATTCAGTTTATAGGAGGATAATAATGTATTGAAATATCAGTGTCGCAAATAACAATATATGCCTTTCTCTTATTAAGATTAGAATAACAAAATAGGGCAATAAAATAAAACGTGATTAATTAATCAAAAATTATGTAAAACCGATATACTCGTAATTAAATAAAACAAAAACAAATCAACAAAATTATAACCAAATTCATAAGTACTGCATACATAACATACGAGATACCATACTAAATTTTTTTTTATTGCTTAGTTGGGTGGACGAGCTCACAGCCCACCTGGTGTTAAGTGGTTACTGGAGCCCATAGACATCTACAACGTATGCGCCACCCACGTAGAGATATAAGTTCTAAGGTCTCAGTATAATTACAACGGCTGCCCTAGCCTTCAAACCGAAACGCATTACTGCTTCACGGCAGAAATAGTCAGGGCGGTGGTACCTACCCGTGCGGAATCACAAGAGGTCTTACCACCAGTGACTAACTAAAAGTAACATTACCACAGTATCATATAAGTATTGGATCATAATAGTACAATTATAAAATAGGTGACCAAAATAACTAATCAACTATGTACAGAAATAATTTAGTGAGTATTAAAAAAATCAGATGCATTGCTCTATATTTCAACTTCTAAATTAGAATCTCAACAATGTAAATTGTACTAAAGATACAGGTAACCTCATTGTTAAGAATTTGTCTAATTATTTCATCGAATCGAGAAAGACCTCAATTTCCCAAAAAAATATTGTCATCTCATTTTAAAAATTGCAATTCAGAACTAATTCACTAGTAGATGCACTACATCCAAAAACTACTCAACTACAAAAAAAAAACATAAAGTCACCTATTTAGAATTATTTTCAACTATTTTTAATATTTAATCTCTTCATTAGCATTACGATATTTCGTGTTGTACATTTTAAAAATGCGTGTAGTTTATATATATACGTGGAAATGATATGGAACGCATGTTAAAAACAAATGAAACTATTGGAAAACATCTAAAATTAAATTGTTTGTCAAAACATTATTCTGTATGGAAAAAAATATTAAAGACTCCAGAAGCAAAGAGGTTATCTGATACTAAATTTCGTCTTTGATAGTGCTCATGATGAAATTAAGATCTGTGATCATATTTTATTATGATACTATCTTGTAAGGTTTATTTTAAAAAAATCAAGGGGAGATACATCAACAAAAACCTTTTCTAGTTTCTGCCGTTAAAACTGCCTAATGGTGAGGGAAGCTTTGCTAACAGTATTCAAAAACTATCTACACAATTTTCTTTTTTGTATATACACATATACATTTAGTAACACACCATTTCTTGATTTTATATTAATGTTTGTGTTATAATATTGTAATAAATAAAAAAAAACCTATTACTAATTTTCTATTTACGAAAGGATGATAAGCTCTAATATCTTTATTAGAATTAAAGACAAGCGGGCCTTGATTATTATTTATTTTTCTAATTTACTTAACTAACCGCGACCGGGCCATCATGACCGATAATTATTATTGACTTATTATTTTTAATAAATTGGACATTCAATAGTCTGGTGATAAAATTATAAACGCAAGTCAACGCTTTTTAGTTTTTATCTGGAGGAGAGAGCGTCGGCGTTCGCATTCGCAAACCCGCCTTCGTCGTCGTAAGCCGTGTCTGCCGTTCTCCGATACGCATTAAATTTTACATTAAACAAATAACGTTATTCAATTTTAAAATGTACAAATCATTCGTCTTGTTGTGTGTTGTTTGCTGTATCGTCGTTGGTAAGTACGATTTATACGATATTATTTATATTTCGCTGTATTTAAAAAAATCTAATTAAGTTTTGAATCATTGATAAGATATTTTAAAACCATAATTTAACGGTTAAACAGTAAGTTTCGTAAAACTAAAATCTAGTTATTATCAGACAACAAAAATCTTTCAGACAATTAAGTAAAAAAAACTTAGACAACAATTTTCAAAATAACAAATCAATAGACAATGTAAAAAAAAAACAACATAATTACAATGTTATTCAAACACCCGTCGTGAACACCATTGCCGCGAGATAAATGTAACAAAAAATTACGATTGAATATCTTTAGACAAAACATTCCGACTTTATAATTAACGAGTATTATTGTATTATTAATGTAAGTATGAAGCGCAAGTCACGGAGCTTGGTGTAGGCGAAATCGTGACAAGACGATCCTTTTCCGTGATCGTGAGCCCGGATTCTTTATTTTTTCATGAAACAAAGCTTTAATTAAATTCCATACAAGTTTTTAAAAGCAGTAAAACGCCTGTATATGCGATTGAATCGATAAGAAACAACAACAAAAAAAAACTCGTTCTTCATAGTTCTTAAATTCGAAAAATTTTAACAAAATATTAGTCTTGTAATATTTACGTCAAAATCACAGAAAATACTTCGACGATGCTGCCACTATCGCATAATATAAGCGATATTGCGAGTCAAGAGGATATTGACCTGAAAACGGTCAGTAAAAGAATAAAACACGATTACTCCTATTCGTATACAAGCATATTTTAAGCGGTAGGCAGCGGCTTGGCTCTGCCCCTGGAATTGCTGAAGTCCATGGGCGACGGTTACCACTCACCATCAGGTGGGCTCGTCTGCCTAGAAGGGCAATAAAAAAAGCAATATTTATAGTTGTAAAATTACTTTTTTTCCCCCTACCTATTCGCTGGTAGCCTACGGGGCTATTCTAGCTACGCCCGGACGGGTAGGTGAGCTCACGGACTCAACCTGAGAGAATTTGCTAACACTAGCCATAGCAAGAGCAGTGCTTCGCAGAATCTACCACCGGATCGGAATCGCGACCCACTGAGAAGATCCGGCGAGAAACTCAGTGGGCGGTAAAATTACCGAAGTTACTCTGACGTACCAGTTGCCCAAGAGACACTAATGAACGGTAAAATGGTGGGAACAGCATGACGACTCAGTCAAGAATATCTCATACCGGCACCTGGTAATGAGTGATTTACTTTATTAAATCAGAATCTACTGGTTTTGCATTTAGGAAACAAGTGTCTCGGAGAGATCTCTTTTTCACACTTTACTTTGAATCTACGACTAATTTAATATAAGACATATCATGATTATTACGAGATATACAATTTCAAATATTTATGCAAATATTTACATTAAATTAATTCCAAATAAATCTACGAAAATATCTCCAAATAAATCTACGTTATTTACTTTTAGCTAATTTAGTTGTATAAAATTAAAATAAAAAAATTATACGGACCCATTGATAGTTTTTGCTGCATGAAATTCAATTTAATTCGTAAATAATTAACTTCATTAGTCACTCGATCGGAGAAGACCGAAGCATTTAAAATATTTTGAAATGGGCAGCATTAGGTAAAAAAAAAATTCGATGAAGTCATCGCGGAGTATATTTCTGAGAAAGAGATTGGATAAAGTAATAATGATATGATTTCAAGAAATGATCGCGTTGGCTTTATTTTAGAATAATATGAGATAAATCGAATTTATTGTACATATAACGGCAATTATTTCTTCTTCTTCTTCTTCTTCCTAACGTTTTCCCAGGGTCCACTTTCCTCCTTAAGCTCCTCCACTTTGCCCGGTATTTTTCTAATAATAAGTATATCCTTCTCATAATGGCAATTATGTATATTAAATAAATTTAGCGAGTAAGCTATTGCATAGGATACAATCAGTTATATTTTGAATTTGGTGAGATTGGTTAGAAATTAAAAGATAGGTTTAGAGCAGTTATATAGTAACAAAAATGCTTAAGCGCTAAATTAAAAAAATCTAAAAGAGTTATAATAATTTAATAAACCTGCCGGAGAACCGACAATTACTCAAACAAACAAAAAGTCGATTCGAATTCTTTTCAAACTTTTTCGTTATTTTACCTCTGTAATTGAGAGGCTGTAGTTCGAAAACCTTCTATGGGATCTTATAATAACGTTAATGACATGAAAAGGAATTTTATAATAATGCAAAAAAAAAACAACCAGATTGAGCGGACTTGTTTGAATGGTTCCATAACGCTGCACAGGACGATGACTCCCGTGTCCCTGCACTGCGTGTCCGTAAGCCGTAAAATATCGATTAGAACGTAATTCGATTTTCAATTACACGATATTCAATTAATTTCGGTAGGCAGCGGCTTGGCTCTGCCCCAGGCATTGCCGAAGTCCATGAGCGACGGTAACCAATCACCATCAGATTGGTCGTATGCTCGTCTGCCCACAAGGGCAATAAAAAAAACACGATTAATATTGAGTGTAGTACATCAAAAAAGTATATTAATAAAATTATAACGTTTTACCGAATTACATTTTCGTCAGGACAAGCTTTAAAGGATTAAAGTAAAAGACAGGGTAAGGCTTAGAAATATTTATTGGATTAGTGAAACAACGTAGCGGTCGTTGCGCCAGCGCCACGAGGCGATCGTGCGTTCCGGTCCGAAGACCAGGATGGTCATTCGAGATCGGGTCCCGAGGTAAGCTCCGACGACAGTGGACAGTCATGTCGTCTGCATCAACAAAAAAGAATTCGCGAATTCAGAACCATATTGATAGATTTATGTACCATGCAGGCTCACTCATATGGAAATTGGTCAAACAATTCTATGATAGATGTTTCCTTGGGTTTTCGCGAGCCGTAAACATAATTAGGGGATTTAAAATAATATACCCTTATAACCTTAATAGTAATTTTAATTATGAAAATTGTGTGATCTTAAAAAAAAACATGTAATACCAACATAAATGCTTTAATCAACTTAAAATAAAAAATAAACGCAGATTCTTCTTCTGCGAAATTTGGGCAATACGTTTTTATCAATAAAAATGGGAAATAATTTTTTATACGATTTTAAGTTTAGTATGAAACTTTTTCGAATTCATTTTATGTCTAAAACTAAATATCGTATATTTTTAATTTACTTGGTGTTTGCAAAGTTGTATTGTAGTGAACGCTTTATGTTCCTCTAATAAAATTACTTAGTACATATTAGTACTTATGCTCTGAATTATTTATTTAACACTCATTTAACAACATTTGTAACAGCCATTTCGACTAAACAGTGACTGGCCGGTCGTAAGCAAAAACGAACTCACTGATTTGGTTATAGTTCAACCTCCCACATAAGTTTGCTTCATGAAGGGCATTGTGGAAGTTGATGTTCATAGAAGATCGTATTTGGAGACTGCGTCCGAGCGGGACTGCGTCCTCTGGGACGTTTGCCATCTACCTTGCCTGCCGCCATCAGCTGTTCTAGATTGTGACCCTCTTTACGAGCAATATGTCCGAAGAATTCCAGCACCCAGAAACCACTCACACATATAGTGGAAACCGCCAGGAACTCTAGATCATATGGAATCACAGTTTATGACCTGAAGCGTGGGATGTGCTACAATTTGTGAATTCGACCACATAACTCAAAGTGAGCAGCAGCAATCAAGTCGAGTCGCTAATGGGTTCCGAAAGCTAAAATCGGGTGGATCGGAAAATCGTCTGCAAATCTAGAGCTATACAAAATCCTCGCTGCCGTCTTGAAATATGTACTCACTACGCACTCACACCTATTTTGTACCACCTATTTTGTTCTCGGTGAAATAAATGGTTCAGTACAAACCAGTTCGGACTAATCGGATTCGATCACCTCTATAAATAAATACAAGATTACACGTAGCGTGGTGCAGCGTTCAATTTGAAAAATGGATGGACGAATTCTGAGCTCGCAGTCATAGGTACGACCAGCCTGCCGAAATCTGTCTGGAAGCAGTAACTTGCGGTTTGAAGAGTAAATTATCAATTGATATATATAGTCGAAACTTCGATTTTATGTCCCTAACTGAGAGACTACAATGGCGTTGTCATATCTATTGGTTCTGGTAACCGCTTAAATAGGATCATTAGTCTCTACATTCCATCTATACTAATAAAGTATGGCTTTGGTATCCACTTAAAGATTCCCATCTACATTAATAAATTAAGAGTCTTAATTACAAATGAACAAATTTTACTTACCGACATCAAAGGCAAAAAGTCAAAGAGATTAAGCTGTTTACTTTTTATTATATCTCAATATTTCCTTCATTTTATATAACATTTATTCGTTGTTTTGTTATTGAAACTTTGAAAGAAATAAACGGTTTATCTTTGAACAAACAATTGTAATCAGGCCGTCAATAGGTTTTAAACTTAAAAAATCGGTTGATAAATAGCAAAGGAAAATTATGGTAGATTCTAAGTACTGATAATAGACCTGAGAGGACCACGGCTCTGCTAGAAGTCTCCTCAAAGAAAGAAGCAAGGTCTTTGTTCTTATTTCATCTATTGTGATATTTTACCGTGAACGTAAATAAATAGATTTGAATTTAATTGGTAGAGTTGTCTTCTTTTGTGATATCGTCCTTTAGATGACATGAAATAATTCAAGAAATCTTAACCCAGAAATCCTCGCAAACGTATATAAAATACAATTAAACAGTTCAAATTACGACGGCTTATTAGCTTTACATGTATCTATCTACATAATGAGACATTTTATCGTTATTTTCACAAACTTCAAGGCGTGCTATTGACTGAAAAATTTGCACACGCATCAACAACCGATTACAATACAACAATTCCATTACATTGGCCCAATGTCCTGAACAGGGTCACCAGGATTAAAGAAATAATACTTTTTTTTAGTTCCAGCTTGTTATTATGTGCATATTTTTAAATTTATAAACAACATTAACTGTCTAATGAATAATAGCTGTA